CCCCATCCCCATCCCCATCCCCACGCCCTGTCCTGTGGCCCTGGGGGCTCCGTAATCCCTCAGTGCTGGCTGGCAGCTGTCATGGATGCTGAGGAAATAAATTAAGGGGGAAAAAATGCTGGGAGGGAGAAAAAGGGCAAATTGTTTATTGGCACACAAGGAGCATCATCCTAGGGTTCGAGGGTTTGCCCTTCGGAAGGATTAACCCCAATCTCAGAGAAGTGCAGGAGAGGTTACAGCAGGTGACCGGAGTCAGGACCCTCCTTCAGGGCCCGTCGGAAAGGAAAAGGGGCATCCTCAGAGGTACGAGGGAGGAGGAAAGATGCTGCGGTGGCTGCACGGCCAGGAGCGCTCCCTGCAGCTCCCGCTGCCGCTCCCCACAGCTCCCCGCAGCCGGGCCCCGCCGCAGCTCCCGGGATGGCAGGGCCGGGATGGCCGGGATGCGATGGTAGGGCCAGGATGCGATGACAAACCCCGGGCCGCGCCGGGTCTCGCCGTCGCGGCCGCCCCGTCCATCAGCGCGGCGCCAGGAACCGCCTCACACCGGGGCCGTCTCCCCTCTCGCTCTCCCCCCCTCCGCCCCTAATGGGAGCGCCCCGCCGCGCCGCCTCGGCAGGGAGCCTGGTGCGGCCCATTTGCAGGACAGGGGGGCCCGGCCCGCCGGGCCCGTGGGCGGCTTTGGGGGTGGGCGCGGGACCCCGGGGCGGGGGCAGCGGCCCAGGGCAGTGCCCGGTGTTAACTCATTCAGTGCCGGTGTTAACTCTCTCAATGCCGGTGTTTATTCTATGTGCTCCAGGCCAGCACTAGGGGTCAGTCCCGCGCCGGGGATCGCGGCGACGAGAGGGAGGCTGGTCCCCTCACACCCTCACTCGGCAACGTGATTTGTACACAAACCTGCACGTTTTCACTCAAAAGCTGCTCAGTAAATGCTTTAAACTCCCTTTTACTCAAGAGGCTCTGGTTTGCGTTCCTTCTTTTACTTTTATTCTGCTTTTCTGCTTCCCTGCAGCAGTTCTCTCCTGGAACCAGCTACGGACAATCACTGGTGACATTTCCACACTGACCATTGTGCATGAAATTGTCCTTAGAGTGACTTTGGACTGCCAGGGCTCAGCCTCTTCCACACAGGTCTGCGTGTATCTATCTATCTATCTGTCTGTCTATCTCTCCCCTCTCTCTCTCCTCTCTCTCTCTCTCTCTCTCTCTCTCTCTCTCTCTCTATCTATATATTTTTCTCTGTCTTGTAGCACAAATAGGGATGGAGGTGGGTTTGGGTCTGATGTAGAAGTACCAAGAATATAGGATAGCTCCTGGAATAAGCAAAAAAATTTGGAGCCTATTTTATTTATTCATTGCTTCATGATTTACTAAGAAGTTCTTAAATCTGATGAGTGTCAGGTATGAGTCACTAATATGGAAAGATTTAAAGGCTCTAGCTGTGTAAGCTGTGATTGTGAGATGAACAAAGCAGACTCTGCAGAGGAGCTCTTCTCGGAGGTGTTGGTGTCTCAGCTGAAGAGCTGTTTAAGACTGACACTCTCGCTGCAGAAACAAGCACTATTAAAACATTCTGTTGGTCTTCATGAGGGTGGGGAGTGTTTCTCTGAAAAGTGCTGTGCTCTTTTTACTCCTCAGCTAAGACAGGGTAAGTGCTGCATTTAACTTTCTCAGCATTCCAAAATAGCCCCACTTCACAGCATTTATTGCAGTGTAGAGCTTTCAATTCACTGTCTCATCCCAAGATTTTTGGGGTTTTGGACTTGTTGAATGTCACCATCCAGAACCACTGCGCTCACTTCAAGATCCCAGTGTCCAGGATGAATGTGAAGAAATTCCAGGAGCTCTTGAATAAGCTGCCTGTGAAGTTAAGGAGAAAGGGAGAGAACTGGTCCCTCTACAGGAGCTACTAAAGCACTAAATGGACCCTGGTATTCCAAAACTGATGCTTTCGTCACCTGTTCAGTAACAGATGAGAGAAATATCTCTAACAGCCAGAGGCCTCATGGATCCCTCCCTCAAGGCCTGCCACTGGCACATATCACACAGTGAGCCTCTGCTCCTGCAAGCAGAAAAAAGCTGAGAGTCTTCTCAGGAGGAACTGGGAGTTCTCACAAGTTTGAAGGATTCTGAGATCCTGTGAGGAATCAGGGAATGCAGTTAGGAGGCCTATTTAAAAAGGAAAAGCTGCATTTGATGTAGACATCTTTTTTCCCTAGCCTGCAAAGACTTCTCCATAGCTGCCTGTCTCCTTCCTCAGACTTCATTAAAGTTCCTTCTTGAAGGCTGAAATCCTCTATCCAGTATAACATTCTGTGGATACCAGTCCCTGGAGCCTAACCATGTGCTGGGACACGAGTGCTGTGTCAGGGTAAGCAGTTCCCTGCTCTTTCTCCCCCCCCCACAAATCCCCTCAACCTGCAGTGCCCCAAACCTGCTTCTTGCTGGCTGAGCATGACCAGGCTGGTCCTGCAAACATTTTGTGTGTGTGTGTTTATTTCCCTGGATCACCCCAGAGAGGCTGAGCAGCAGCAGCCCCCACCCCGCAGTCAGAGAAGCACAGCAGAGCCAGGTCTCACCTCCTGGTAAACCAAGGATCCATGGATCTGCCCTGCTGGGAGCCTGGGCAAAAGGAATTATTCCTTGAGGTACGAGAAGGGCTTGAATACCTTCACTTTGAATACCTTCAGCTTTTTTTCATAGAGACACACAAATAAACACAAATAAACAGCTGTACTGCCTCTGCACCTTCTGTAGAAGGATCTGGCCAGATTCTGTCCTCTCCACACCACAAGTCACTGATGTGGCTTTTTCCTGCATGAAAGAAATTGGATGTTTGACAATGTAAGAGACAGTCCAAAGATTCTCCCATCTGTCTCACAACTGTCTCAAGGACAGAGACTGAGACCCTGAATATCACAAGGGACTTGGTTAGGGGTTCAGGCCTAGCTGAGGTGGATGTTTGCTAAGTGATTGTTTGCAGGTGGTTGCACGGTACACTGCCCTCATTCCTGCTGGTGAGCAGAGGCTTGTGCATGGTACCCTGCGCAATGGGTTTCCATGACACGTTGCCCTTGTTCCTGTTGGTGAGCAAAGACTTGCAAGGCATGGTTTGCTCTGTACCCTACACCTGCCCCCCTGAGCAATGGAATTCATCACAATGAATTGATTCATCATAATGAAATGATGAATTCATTATCAATCTCCTCTGTTTTTGACCTGTGCCCCTTGCTTTGCAAAAGACTATAAAATTATAGTCAAATTTACCTTCCTTTGAGATCTCCCCAACAGACAGAACACTCTGCATCGTTGGACGGCTGAGTGGACTTCGACGTTGGTAGCTATAATCCCCTTACTCTCTTTTCCTTATGCTTTGCTTTCTCTGCTTTTCTCTCTATCGCATATTAGTGCTGATGAGCACTCAATAAAGTGTGTTCTGCTGTTTAAGTCCTTGGTTTGCTGATAATCTTTTGTACTCTAAGACCAACTAAAAGAACCACATCATGAATCCCACCTTGCGGATCGTGACAGACAAAGAGAAAGCAAGGTGAGTACACCTGATCCTGGAGTGCTCTCGGTTGCCACACAGCATCACCTGGGTTCCTGTGCTGGATGCTGGTTTATCTGGCATCCCTCCAGAGCATTCCTGGTTCCCACAGCATCCTCCTGTAACTGGGCTGTCCCTAATCTGCTCCTGGCTGCCTGAGGAAGCTTCTCTCACAGAAAATTTCAGTTGATTGACCAATTTTTTTTTGTTTCCATACTTTTCCTCCCTACAGGGCAGTGGATTCATTCCCTCCTCAGTCTTTTAATTTTCCCTGATGGACAATATTCTCAAAAAGATTTCCCAAAGAGCCTTGGTTCCATTCAGGAGGAGCTGCTGGAAGTTGGGTATGGGTTTGGAAGTGCGATCTACAACAGACAAGAGTTTGGGAATTCTCAGGAAGGTACTTCTCCCAGCTGCAAGCTGGATTATTTCTGATCACATTCTCCACATACCAGGCAGGGATGGAATCCATTCTCCTCCAGTTTCTCAGATCCTGCCTCACCTTGTAAAAGTCCATCCAACAACTCCACCAAGGCCAGCAGGAGGTGACCCTTTGCACATCAGGATCTGAATAAACCTCTCAACTAGAAAAAGCAGTAGTCTTTTTTCCTCAAAAACCTGTCACTATTTGGTGGGGAAAGCAAGGGGCTGTGGAGCTCACTGACTGCAGTACAGATCAAACCTTTTTAACTCATGGTGTTCATTCTGCAATCTGCCCAGGGCCTGTAACCCTGCTGAGGTGTCAGTCCCAGCCAGGGCTCTGGCTGTGAGGGATAAAACCTCATGATGTTTCAAACCATTAAACCAGCTCAGTGTATTTCATGTCAGCCTGAGAACCTGACTTGCCTTCTTATTAGAAATGGAACATACGGTATAAATTTAGCAATCCCCAGTGTATTTAGCATTTCACATCAGTTAGATTTTACTTGACATGAAAATCTGAACTTTAACCTGTATTTAAATGTCTGGATTTCTTGCTCTAATTTTACATACTGAAATGTCCTAGTTCCTGGCAAGCCCCAGGTCTTTGCTGGGTAAATGTTCTGGCTGCTGGTGGGTACTGGTGTCACAGGAACCACTCACTGCCATGCTGCAAAAAGGGATTTCAGTGGCTATCCCCAGTACATGACAGCCCCCAGGGACACAGTGCTTATAGATGTACATTAGTGGGGGTAAAAATGAGCTTTCATAAACCCCCATCACGTGTAGAACACACCCACAATGGCTGCAGACCCTTGTGCTGTTTTTAACAGAACATCTGGATGTGATTTTACACATAAATTAGTCTCAAAATAATAATATTCAATGTTTGGGTCATTATGACTGACTGCAGAACAAACAGCTTCAACCAAAACTCCCAAACCCCCCCAGCCAGTGTCTGCAGGATGAGAACTGCCCTGCTTTGACACAGACCCCCAGTGGCACAACACTGGGGCCACACACAACAGCACACACGTGTGTCTAAGGTTGTTTATTAATTCGGTCTGTTCTAAGTTGTACAATTTTGAAAACAACAAAACGACTGCTGGAAGCCCAGGAATATTTACAATCTCGCCTTGTTGTAGTGAGGTCAGTCTATCTTGTTGCACAGATTGGTTATGTTTGGTACCACAAGATGTTTAAAATTCAGACAAATTTGAACAGATTAACAACTGTATATACAGGAAATAAAAGGAAATTCAAGTATCAAAATACAGACAGATTAAATAACATTTGTATTACAAATCAGCCCCACTGCCATACATCACAATTAGCAAAAATGTCTACATTGCAAACTGAACTTGACTGTCTCTGCCCTGTCAGGGAATCCCAGGTTATTCTTCTGTGGGTAAGAAAAATGTCTGAGCTGGGTTGACTTAGTGAGAACAGCACAGGTACTTTTCTTTTGGGAAAAAAAAAATTCAGGTAATACCAATGTGAGATCTATAAGGGAGACCTTTGCAACACGACAGCGTTGTGAGCTCTGTGCCGGCTCCAAAACATGGATCGGAGCAGAGCCAGGGAAATGCTGCTGCTGGAAACTTCTGAGGTGGATGGAAGGAGCATTAAAGCATTGGCTCCACCTCAGCTGCACACAGAATGGGACGTGTTTGGGGCTTTTTGGCATCTGCTCTGTGTCTCAGCAGCCTCCTGAAGGTACAGACTTCACTACAGGTACAGCCTGGAAGGTGCTGCATCTTCTCCCTGGGAGGGGGAACAGGTGTGTACACCAAAAAAGTTGCATAATTTCATCTAAAAAGAACAACCCCAAAGCAAGTTTAAGTCAGTTCAACAGCTAAGATTAGCGCTTTTTTTTTTTTTCTTTGTAAACACAAAATAAAAAAAGGATAAAGCATCTTCAATTTGAAAAAAAAAAATCATCCCCTCCTATAAAAAGAAAGACAAAACTTGGCAACTCCATTTGCTGGCTGTGAGTGAGGGCTCAGCCCACAAACCAAAGTCTGCGAAACACAATCTGTCTTTAAGGAGAGGAACAAGGCCCAGGGCAGCCCCAGCTCCTTCCAGGCAGGTAGTACAGCAGACGCAGTTGGATGCAATGTTATGTTCAGCACCGGAAATCTGGGGCACTGTCCTCCAGATAGCACAAAACCCTGCAGGGAGGAAGAGCCCCAACGCTGCACAGTGGGTGGGTGAGGGTGGCCGGGAGCCAGTGACTGGCACAGCCCAGGGTCTGTCTCCAGCACCGAGTCCCGAGAGAGACCACACCACACTGAACTGCCAAAACAACTGCTCTGTCTGAGAGGTGAGAAAGGGAGTATCTGGCTAAAGAATGGATCACTAAAGACAACCATAGGTTTACACATGGGGCTGGAATGGACCACCAGGGTCACCGAGCCCAGTGCCTGAAGACTGGAGTCTTCATCACCATGTCACCTCCAAGCCAACCTCCAAAAAAGCTCACGTGTCAGAAAGGAAAGGTGTCCCTCCTCCCAAGCAGAGTTTCAATTTGCAATCTCACCGAAGACTTGTTGCCAACACACCAAATATTTACACTTACACCAGTATGAATTGCAACATGTGCATAACAAGGAATGTTAGGTTTCCTAAATTTATTGGCTTAACCCAAAATCTCCACTCCCCCTTCCCAATCCTTTACAGGTCTGTGCCCTTGGGATTATGGTTCACTTCTCTCCCAGCCTCACTGGTGAGAGAGACTAAAGGAAATCCTGACATACAGCAGCAACTGGAGTTAAACAGGAATTACTCGCGCACAGCATTCCCATGTGGCAGCAGGTCCCACAGCCCTGAGAGGGCCTGACGAGATCACGATGGATGCGCTGCGCTACACTTTGCATCTGAAGAATTCAAATCACAACCATTTTAACATTCTCCCCAGAGGGGAACAGTCTGAAAACACATCAGTCACAGCCCAAACCACTGTGAAAAACACTGTAATTCAGAATAAAAGCAAGCACACAGCACCTCTGAGGTGATTGCCTTTAGGGACACTGGGCTCAGACAGGGCCAAGCCACCCTCAGGCTGATGTGGTTTGTCCTTGGGGATGGACTGTTTCAGTGTAATGCCCAAAATTTAACTCCTTATTTGTTCATCTTCTGAAACGGTTGCACTAATTAAATAATGAGCTAGTATCAAAAAAGTGCTAAATCACAACTGAATATACTTAAAAAAACCCCAACCCTTCAGGGCATAACTGCATTTAAAAACAAGACAGGTGCACAGAGGCTGGAGCAGGGAGTTGTCCCCAGGAATTCAGTGCAGAAATGGGAAGAAACGGGGTCCTTGCCATAGAAATGTCAAGTATTGCAACGTGACAGCTGGGGGGATAAGGAAGCTTTGTACCATCGGGGGTATTGGCCACAGCTGCTCTGGGGTGAAAAATCCTTTGCAGATTCTTTTCCTCAATTTACTTCCATTTGCTACAAAAGCTTGGAGTGGCTTGGAGAACAGGATGCAGACTTATCTCACCAGGTTCTCACGTGGGAGGAAGCGATCTCTGAGAATTTGGAGTTTTCTCCTGTTCACCCAGGGCTGAAGCAGAGTAAGTACCATCAGAAATACGCACACCACGCCCCTGCTAAGGCTTTCTATCATGCTCCTCGCCAGACTGCGGGATTCCCAGTAAATAAAAATTTGGTGGGGTTTTTTTTCCTCACCAAAAAGCTGCAGCGCTACCTTAAAACCGTGAACCGGATTTGCTCTGTGTCACTTCGTTAAAAAAGAAACAGGTCAAAAGATGTTTTGTCTCAAACTAGAAAAGGCGACATCGCTCTTGGCCTCCGAGTGTCGAGTTTTCCTTCGCTAGGAACGGAGAGAGCGGCTTTCCTCGGTGGAGGCTGGGTCCCTTCCCCCAGAGGGCTGCTCTGGGAGCCCTCACCGAGCAGCCACGCACCCACTCCGAGGCAGCCACCCGTGCCAGAGGGAGATGATCTTCATGTCAGGAGGCCACCGCGTCCCAGGTCTCTGCCCCGCTACTACATCCCGTGGTAGGAGACGGCTGCCCGGAGCTCAGCTTCGCAGAGGCAAACAGAAAGGAAGATAATGGAATGAATTTCCGAGGCATACAAAAATCACGTGCTGGGAAAGGCGAGGAGAACGGCTCGCAGATGGGACACAAAAATCGTCAGGGCTACAGACACAGAGCAGCAGCAGCGGCGTGGTTTGGGAAGGGCTGCCTGTGACCCCGCTGGGTTTGGTCACCCTTAGAAAGGCACATGCTCTCGTGACCTGGATTTAGGGGGCACGGAGGGACCTGCCCTTCCCAGCTGAGAGCAGGGGGAAGTGAAGAGCTCAGAGCCTCTGACACTGGGTGGACGTGTGGCAGCTGCGTGATGAACACCCACACGTAGAAACTGCTCTGCCACCCATGGCAGGGATTGAGTTTCTCTTAGAGGGGCACAGAAACTTTCAGGGCACTCTTACAGCTTGGAAAAGTGCTGATGGAACCCAAACCCAATCTCCTGGAGCACCTCAGCATAGTAATGTTCTGCTATCCACAAGGGCTAGGGTGGCAGGGTGGGACTGCAGGCCCTGGGCAGTGCTGATTCTATGGCATATGAAATGTCTGTACTAGACTGAGCTTTCCTTTGTGGTTTTTTTGCTTTAAGATAACACTTTTAGTCCTCTCACTGGGCTCCCACTAGATGAGCCCTCAGTCTGAGGTCAGTTTGCCATTAAGTTGCAAATGACTTGGGAGATCCAACTCATTCCTGAGAAAGAGCTAAATAAGGACCGAAACATCAGACTTCACCACAGGTGAGGGGGAATGGAAGCTCTGGGGCAGCAGTTCCAAAGCCAAACTCAGACAATCTGCTGGGCCCTAACACCACAAATGTTGTTATTTGCCCTGGGCAAATAACCCAGGGCTGCTCTCTGACCTCTCCCTGCTGATGCTGCTTGTGGTGTCCAGCTGACACCTTCCCTCCCCAGCCTGGGGCTAACAACAACATGTGCCTTTGGAAGCTTAACCACAGGCTGCCACGTGAGAACTACACCCAGCGCTCATGAGAAATCTGGTGAGTGTAAACACAAGGACTATGAGGGGAAGAAAAACCTACAAGGGACTGAAATGCATGCAACCAACCCGCCCCTCATCTCCGAGGGGAAAAGCTCACAGTGGGAACGATCACACCTGGCCCAAATCAATGCTCCCCCACCACCCAGAGCAAGTTCTGTGCTGGGTTTTGAGGAGGGAAACTGTGGGCCAGGGTGGCCGTGAGGAAATGGAAGTGCCCGTGTGTTATCTGCAGAGAGCATCACAGTGGTTAGTGTCGGTTCGACTGGCAGGGAAGGAGAGGTGAGTTCACTGAACAGTACACAGCCGTGGCTCAGTCGGGAAGAGGAGGATCTAGGAGGAGGGAGCGTGTGCACCGTAGAGACAAGAGGTCTCCATCAGTCCAAGGACAAGGTGAGATACAAAAAAAAGGCCTGGGGAGTATCACATTGCCCCAGGGATTCACAGTGCCAGAGTGAGGGGAGAAGACGTGAAAACGGTGGGCGGCTTTCCTGGATGCACATCTCCGACTGGCAGCCTGCCCTCTCTGCTCCTCCCGCCTCACGGGCAGCTACAGCGCATTACCCTCGTTTCTGAGGAAGGAGATTCACAGTGTTCAGCAGCGATCAGGTACAAAAGCCTTTAAGTCTGCAGTTTCATAAGTGCTGCTGCCTTGGACGCGGTGCCTACGCGGGCTGAGGGCGAGCAGCTGGAGGAAGAGGGAGTTTAGAAGAGCAGACAGATCAGATCGCAAAGGCACGGTTAGACGGGGCGGACACGGGCGTTTGCTTTAGAAGATAGTGGTCTCATACTTAGTGCTGAGGGTCCGCTTGGAGTCCTGCTTGGGGTCCACGACCCAGGAGACACTGGCATGAGACTGGGAGTCTTGGTCCACTTCAGGGGGATCCAGCTAGAAAATAAGGAGAGACAGGGCATCTTAGGACACCCGTGCTTTTGGGACAGAATGAATGGGGACTCAAAGCACGGAGCGCCTCCCTGCCTATTGCCCATCCCAAAAATATGCATGTGTGCAAGGAAGCAGCTCTTGCTGGGGAGGCATTTGAGTCCTTCACAGCTAAAACATGTCTGGCCACATCAGTCTCAACCCAGCACCCCAAGATGACTCCCTGCATTAGGCTGTGAGTCCCTGTCACCATTAGCGACAGCTTCATTCATCTCAAACAAGCATGAAAAACGGAGCGCTACAGAAATGGGACAGAGGGAGATAGTTCCTGGCAGGTGAGCTCCCACGTGATTTACCCTCCTGACCAAGCACGACTCTTTCCTCTTGTCCTGCTAAATCAGGGTGCCAGGGGGAAGTTACCACCCCAGCAGGAGCAGTGGGGTTCGTTGAGAGCTGCCACACTGCATCAGTGGGGCGGGTGGGAGCGGCAGGTCCCCAGGGTTCATCTGAACCCCCGGCGTGGGCCATAACAAGCAGGGGGAACAACAACAGCGAGGCAGGACACGGGAGCACAGCAGGAGATAAAGGAAGTGGGAAGGCAGCCCGGGTCAGTTTGGAAGGGAGGATGGCAGGAAGAAGGGTAAAGACCTTCGCTCCAGGACTAACAGACTGCAGCGGCAGGTAGGAGGGGCGGTGTGTTGTACAGGTGTGACAGTAACAACAGCGGGTGTCGGGAGGGAGCGGCACCTGAGCGGGGGGAGCAAGCAGAACACAGACAAAAGGAGACATTAAAGGAAGGCAGTGGCTTGTGCAGCAGTCCCTGCTCCTCAGCAGCTGTGTCTTGGCTGGTTTTGGCTATGGGGAATCCCATACTGCAGCTCACCTACATATCTCACTGCACCTCTGCAGGGTTTGCACGTGGAAGCTTGTGCTGGACCCAGCAGGGCACTAAAGCCCCATCCCACCTGGGCTATTTCCACCTCTGCCTGCCCTCCTGCTACCAGGAGAAGCCCCAGCCCCACAGCAGAACTGACACAGGCCCAGACCTGCAGTACCAGCAGCAAGACAGGCACCTGGACCACATCTGGGCTCCTCCCACCACCCAGGGGAGGCGCAGGGGTGCGGTGCCCACAAGAACCCCCAGCTCAGCCCAGCAGGTCGCTCCTGCCCGCTCCCACATACCACGGATTTCCTCATGCCTGCTCGTGGTTTAGGCACTGGTTTGGAAGATTTTGTTTCAATCATTTCTCCTGCTCCAGCACCCAGAGGCTTTGCTCTCTGGGCTTGCAGGGCGAGCTGGTAGGCGACCTCGAATGCCTGCCCCAACGTGAGGATGATCTCGTACGTCAAGTTCTTTGAGAGAACAGAGAGAACACAAAGCTGTCAGATCACCCTGTGTACAGTCCCCCTTGTGCTCAGAAGCTGCTCTGGGCTCACAGACCTTGGCAGAACTGGTAGCAGGGTGACCTGTCAGCAGGTCATGTCCTGCTGTGTCCCTAAAAGCCACTGACCTCCTGCTGTGGGGGAGCCGGGACCATGCTGCCTCCCCCAGGGCCCCCTGCCCACCTGTAAAGCCCCACCAGCACTGCAGTACAGCAGCATAAAGAAAAATAGCTCAAAAGTCTTGTGCAATTTTGATTCTGCCCAAGTATAAAAGCTAATCACATTTCTACCCTCTCTGAGATAAAAGGTTGTTAAATCAGCCCATTATGCTCAACATGATTTAGAGCATATTAGGGGCTTGTGCATGGCACATTTCCCCAGGAGGGAAAGCTCTTGCCCTGCTTTATTCAACGCTGGAAGATGGCAGTAATGAAGCCAGACAAATATTCTCTTTGTCCACAGAGGTCCAAAGGACAGGCATTTGGAACCAAGACCACTTTTTGGTAAAAATGGCTGAAAGAACCCTGGAAAGGAGCAGTCTGTGACTAACCAATAAAGCTGAGGGATGAAACAAATGGGCTGAGAAGGACTGGGAGATGTGACATGACTGCACTCACCACATCTACAGTGCTGAAGACATGGCAGTAGTGATGGCTGGTCTGCAGGTCCTTGGTGATGTAGGCAAATGTGCAGAGATCCTCAGGGTCCTGAGCAGCACAGGAGATGTTCCGGATCTCGTGCTCAGCAATGACATTCTGCCAGGGTCAACCACAAGCACCCATCACCCTTCTGGGGATGGCAAATACACCTGGCAAACAGCGGCTGTGGAGGGTGTCCTGGGGACAGGGAAGGGGAGTCTCCCAGCCAGACCAGTTCCAGTTCCCTCCCATGGCAGGAATAAATGGGAACATGGTCTACAAGCAGCCAGACTGCCAAGCCTTTGGCACTCAGGTGATTATCACCACCTTGGTGTTCTTCCCCAGCCCTAGAAGCTCCCCAGGACCAGCTGTGGCTTCTGGAGCCACAAGAAGTGACCTGCAGCTTCTCAGGAAGGTGGGATTGCAGGCTGTGTCCCTCCAGACACTGACTCTGAGGCATCTGCAGCTCACCTTGTTGGAGGCATCAATGAACTTCACCCCTTTATACGTGATGGACAGGATTATGGTTGGGATCTTCTTCATGTGCTCTGTGGATTTCTTCAGAAATGAGAATATTCAAGTGACCAACTGTGAATGGATGCTCCCTCTTCACCCCTGCCTTGCCCCAGCCTACCCCACCCCAGAGACCCCCAGGCCCCTGCAGGAAGTTCTGGGGATCTGGGACCAGGAGGAGGAAAGTTAGCTACTGGTGGAAGCAGAGGGGAAGAGACAGGGACCTGAAGAGAACCCAGCCAGCACCTCCCCAGTGAAAACACCCACTCTCCCACAGACCTTCTGGGTACTGGGAACAATGCTGGGAAGGGGCAGTTCACCAGACAGTGGCACTGCCTATTTGGTGATCTGGGCCCCAAACCACTGAGTTCCCCCCTCCCCAACCCACATCATCCACCACAGGCTACAAGTGAAGCCCCCAGCCCCAGAGTCTCCATACCCTCATCTTGGCACAGGCGTCCTGTGTAGACTCTGTCCCTCGGAGGTCTTTGATCAACATGGAGCCCAAGTACTGTGTGAAGGAGGGAGAGATGTTAAATCCTGCCAATCCCAAGGCAATGACATTGCCCTGACCCTCAGAGCCTCCTCATCCTCACCACCCCACAAACCAAAAGCCACTTACATTGGCCTCATACCCGCAGGACTCGAAGATGAGCTTCTCGGGCTGGTGCTGCCAGTTTTGAACGGGGGCATATGGGGCTGCCAGGCTTGGGGGGCGCAGGGTTAGCCTGGACTCCCGACGGTCCTCCTGCATGGGAAGAAACACAGATGTGAAGCCAAAAGAGGTTCAACGTGGGTTGGAACAGCTCTCAGGGGGGCTCTTTGAGCTGAAGGGACTGAGGCTAGCAATGGCCAAGACCCCCAGGAGCTGGGTGGAGGCAGCACATGGGGTTGAGGTGCCTGTGCTGATGTAAGTGTGAGCCATCCGTTTTTAAGGTGAAACTGAGGCACAAAGGAGCTGCTGGCTCTATGGTCTGAGGGAAGCTGAGCCTCACCAGCTCCCTCCCTGCACTATCGTCCCTTCTCCCCGGCTCCAGAGATGGGGGAGCCTGTGCAGAGGGCCCCTAGGACACAAAAAAGCACCCACTCACCTGTGCTTTGTAGCGCTCAGCTCTGGAGTAGGGAGCAAGCTCAGTGCCACGACCGTGTTGCTTCTTGGAAGTGTCCCCGGAGGGCAGCAGGAGATCAGCAGATTTGCCTGTGCAGGAGTCGTTCTGGCTCAGGGGCGACGACGCCTGGGACATCAAGTCCTGGCACTGGAAGGAGCAGACACCACCAAGTGAGCTTGGGCTGTGCTGTGCTCCCCATCACTCCCTCCGCATCGCCCGACACAAGGTGCACTGAGTGGACTAATGGGGTCAGCTCCTGCTCTGGGGGCTCCTGCCTCAGTGCCAATCCCACCTTTTACCTTCTGCATGAGACGCCTGATTTGCTCCAGGATGGTTTCAGCCATGTACTCAGTCCTTTGTGCTCAGCATGCCTCTGCCTCCACAAGCTCATCCAAGGAAGGCAGCGGACACGTTGGGCTGGGGGCAAGGTGATCCCAGAGGGGTGGGTTCCCCATAAGCACTAAGCTAAGCACCCGAGAGTGATGATGATCAGCCACCCCAGCAGAAGAGCCCCAGGAGCCGCCGCCAGAGCACGCCCAGGGCCTGCAGGCATGGCCAGAATCTCAGCACAGCTGCGGCCACGTTAGTCCCATTCAAGCTACTTGCTTGATTTGCCATTGATGTCCGCCTGCCCCCCGCGCTGCAGCCAGCACTGGAGCTCATCAGCTGCAGCGCCAGGAAATGCTGCAAATGGCCTGTTCTCCCACCCAGCCTCCCTGGGCAGCATCTCAGTCAGCTGAGCCACACCAAAGCAGCCCTCTCTCCCTGCCACCTTCAGTCTCGCCCAGCTCACGGTGTAGATCCTTGGGTTGGTCCTTCCCGTGCTCCGAGGTGTTGAGCAGCGGGTTTGTACTGGGCACCCTCCCAGCACCAGTGTGAACTCTCTGTTCTCACAATTGAATCTAGTTCCTAAAACATCCCATGTCAGCAAGCAGAGCACAGCAGCCCAATTCGCTTCAGCTAAGGCTGTTTGGGTTGGAAAGCCTTGGGAATCCAAGAGGGCAGAGCTCTTCAGCAGGGCAAGGACCAGATGTTTAGGATGGGTAAACTCTAATCACTCCAATTCCTGCTCCAGGAAGCTGATTAGCAATCTCTTGGAGGAGGCAGCACAACATACTACCCCATTCCTGAGGTCACAGGGTCGCTCTGAGCCCAGCAGCTTTTGCCAAACTCAGCTCTCCAAAGCCAGTTTTCAGGAGGAATGGGGAATGTGATGCTTCCCTCTCAGCCAAGCCCCATAACAAGGACCTGACATCCAAATGCTGCCACTCCTGCAGCAAAAATCAACATCCACATCTTGTCGAGTGTTATTTGGCAGCGAGAGCGGGAGCTCTCAGCAGCCCAGCCAGGCCAAGGAGAGGGCTCTGGATCCCAAGGGTGCAATCAAACACCAAGTCCCAGCTGCAGCCCCTCTCTAGCTGGGCTGTGTCGCTCCTGCCTGCTGAAAGCTCCCACATCTCTGACCAGGAAACAAGGGCAAGAAAGTGGGCTCAGAGCTCCCTTCTGTGCAGGGCAGAGGTGGGAGTGGCACCCTCCAGTGCAGGCACCTGATCCCAAGGGGCAGCCTGACCTTTCCCATGGGGTCAGCATCCAGAAGCTGACCTGCAAGGGCTGGAATTATCCTTCCCCACTCACTGCAAGGCTGCCCCTGCACAAGTATTTTCTGCCTGGGTGGCTGGAGAGGATGATGTGAGCAGCTGAATGGGCACTACTGGCCATGGCAAGATTTCTCCCAGCACTGACACACAAGCCAGGCAGGGAACCACGAGCAGGGACTCACTCTCAGCTGTGAGAATCGTGGTGGCTTGGCCGGTGGCTCCTCGTAGGGTCTGTCTGCCAGCGAGGCGATGATCCTCTTCCGATGGCCCAGCAGGTTCACTTTCAGCACCTGCAGGGAGAGATCACGGTCACCATGGGCACAGAGCTACTTGGAGAGACTTGGAGCAAGTCCCAGCCCCAGGGAACAGGGCAGGATCTTGCTGCCCTGGCAGGAGAGGGACAACACTCACGTTTACTATCTCAAGCTCCCAGAGGTTTTTCACAGTGTCGATAGAGCTGTAGCCACTTGAGAGGAAGGACTGGATGTAATCCTGCAGCCCCAGGGAGTCGAGCCATGCAGGAACTGATGGCTGGCTATTCCCATCACAGCCCAGGGGTTTCAACTGTGAAAACACAAGAAAGGTGTTAAAAGCTGCAGGAGCTGGGATCCCAAGGGATAGGGGGTCAAGAAAAATCAGTTTACAGGCCATCACCATCTCCATTAGCCAGTAAGAAAAGCACTGTACAAAAAGAGAATGTGCTTGGGATCAAGACTGGCAAGAGGAACAGTCCCAGCATGGAGCTACCACCATCCACATAGCCTGGAAGACCAGTACAATCCTCCCCCTCCTCCCTGCTATTCCCAAACCCTTCCCACAGCCCCGGAGATTCCTCCATAGCCAGAGATGCAGGGTCTTTTGTCTCCCCTGTGTTCACAGCCATGCTTGGCAATGCCCCATCCTTGGCTGGTGCTGACCTTTGGGAGGGAGCGAGCAGCCTGGAGCAGTTTCCGGCGGTGCTGAGGGTCACCGATCCCGATATCCCGAAGGTCCTGGTCTTCCATGACATTACAGCCCTGTGGGGACAGCAGGGAGCGACATGAGAGCAGGGGACAACAGGAGCCACACAGGTGTGTGAATGGACATCACACAGTTATGGCATCCTGCTGACTTCACCTCCAGCACATCCTGGGAGCAGGAGAAGGAAGAGCAGAAGGATAAGGAGGGCTTCCAAGGCTGGGAGCTCTGCTCCATGTACCGACCTTGGGCACAGAGAGGGCTGACACGAGCAGAGCTGCAGCACTCGGAGCACTGCCCTCCCCTCCCTGCTCTGGGAGCTGCTTCCAGCCTTTAGCCCGGGGCATGGCTTACAGCCACCTCCCTTGAAATTAGACACACAGAGGCTTTAAACATCCTGTAACAGTGCCCAGGCAAACCCAACCCCCTCCATGCCCAAGCAAGGCCTCTGGGTTCTGCTCAACTTCCATGGCCACCGGGAAACCTGCACTGCTTTCCTTGGCAGCAGGGGAAGGTCAGGTGTCTCCTCTGGCCCCAGGCAGGGCCAGAGATGCTCCAGTCACCCCCACTGTACTGTTAAAACCCATTTTCTGCCCCCTTCCCCCTGCAGAGCAGAAGCACAGGGACTCTACCAGCCTTTAAAAGCCCCTGTCACAACCTGCTTCCCTGGCCTCCTACCTTGGCAGAACTCAGCAGGACATGTCTCCCCACGCCTGGCAGAGCCACTCTGCTGTGTAACTGAAGGCTTCAGCTTCAGCCCGGAGCCCCCCCTGGCCCTGCCTCCCTCTGCTCCCCAGAGAGTCCCAGCAGGTGTGTGCCGACAGCACTCCACTGTTCCACATTTTATTTTATAAGAGAAACCCAATTAAGGCCGGCCGCAGGGAAGGTGAGGGCAGGTAAAATTGCCAGGCAGCCTCCATAAAGGGCAGCAAGGGTTTCCTACCCCTTCCCATTAACACTTTGCTGGGATTTCAGCACTTTGCTGAGTGCTACCTGCTTTAAATGCTGCCCCAGAGCAGCCACCTCCCAAGCACGTCCTTGCTCCCACTGCTCTGCCACTTCCATGGGGTGTGGTGACAGCAGAGCAGGGTGGCACATGGCTCTCCACCCAGGAGCTGCTCTTCCCAGGGAAACAGGGAATTAACACCAGAGATAAGAGATGCCCAGATATCTCTCTGCCACACACTATATCTGCTCTGCAGCCCACACTAGTCATTTAGCAAACAGCAGTGGCAAATGAGCAGTGAGTGGCAGGAGGCAGAGCCCTCAATGCCCCTGACAAAGCTCCTCTGCCTCCTCCTCCCTTGGTGGGTCAGATCCCACACACTTCATTCCTGGAGAGCTGGGAAGGGACAAGAGAACAGAGCCTGAGCTGACAGCCACAGCACAAAGGCATTTATTTGTCTGTCTGAGAGTTGTTTAAACAAAAGAAAAGCTGGGACTAAATGGCTCTGCAGCCCACAGAGTGGGGGGTTAATGCTGTGTTTTCCCAAAGGCCAGTTCACAGACTGTGCCAGTCAGGGCCACTGTGCTGGGAAGAGCTAATGCCACTGCCCCAGAGTCCCTGTGGACACCAGACCATGGCCAAAACCATCTGCCTCGCACCCCAGAGCCTGGGAGCGAGGCCAAGGGCACCAGGGGCTCACATGAGTGGTGACACTGCACACCATGAGCTGAGAGGATGGAACCACATCACATGAACTGTTTTGTGCACTCCTCAACTGCACAAAATCATTGAGTAAGAGGCAGGTTGTTGCTGAAAGCTCCAGGCTGCCCATTTGCTGCACAAGCAGCAACTCTTTTGGACTGGAAACAAACTCCCAGCAATTAACACAAGGAGCTGCTGCTGCCAGGGCAGTGACCTCTGGCTGGTGGGCAGCAGCATCCCACCAGAAAGATGGAAACATCCCCTCCCCTTTCGTGTTCATGAATTTTAAGCCAAAGAGCCACATTTAATGTGCATTCCTGTAACAGCAGGAGATTGTGTGCTTCAGGGAGGAGGGAAGGGATTAATGGGGATTAACTCCCCTGACAGACACCTCACCTGGCAGGAACGCAGCATGTGTGTGAGGAATTCATCTCCCAGAGAGAGATGGCCTCGAAAGGGCTTTTTGAAATGGACCAAGAGGGCCAGAGCAAGTGATGGGATTTCTCTCACAGCTTTGGAAAGCAAAGTATTCCTGTCCTGTGTGGGGGAGGAACAGGGAGGGACTCAAGTGCCCGCAGCAGGTCACACCTCAGGTACCTGAACAACCTGCAGTTCCCAATGCCTGGGCCTGCTCTGCTCCCTTGACCTGCCCATCTTGGTGCTCTGTGGCTCCATCCCCCTGCAGAGAGCCAGGGTGGAAGCTGGGGTAGTACAGGGAAGATGCTGGCAAGGGCAGAGCTCACAGGCAGCCTTCCCTTTGTGCCACCTGCACAACAGGAACAGTCAGCAGCCAAATGAGCTGTGACAATGGCAATGTGTAATTTTTATGTATCAAAAACAAGCTTGCTGATCCTATTCACATTTTCATTCATGCTCACTTTCCAGCATTGAGCCTTTTTTAGTGCTGATCCCCTCTGGCATGGCTACGATCCTACATGAGCAGCATGGAGCTGGTGGCTTTCACTCTCCCACAGGGCACCAGTGCCAGCCCTAAGGCAGGGCAGTAGGTGTTCTCCCACCTTTGGCATCTCAAATTCGAAGAAAATTGCTTGCTCTGTAGCAAGGATACAAGGTGGTTAAACACTGTGAAGCCTACAGCTTTCTCCTGCACTCCTTATTTTTATGTGTCACGTTAAATTCCCTAGGTGGCAGTCTGTATTCCCTGGGTACTTAACAAGGATAGACAAAGCGTAGCAGCTCTGAACAAATCATTCCAGCCCCTGGTGCAGGAGAAATGTCCTTCAAACCCATCTGGATTTCAGCTCCCATGAAAAACAATAATCTGCCACTAAAAGAGAGAATTAAATACAAAGACACTTGAGATCTTTTAACCTTTGCTAGCCACGCAGAGGAGCCAGACTTTAAACCTGTCTGCACTCAACCTCAGACAAGAGCCAAGGGGCAGAGCTGCTCTGCATGGGCCACTGTTGCTTTTTTTTGGTTTTACCCAAAAGCTCCCTTTGGTGCCAGCCACAGGTCAGCAGATGGCATTTCCCAGTGCCCCCCTGATGGCACAGAGCAGCCCCAGCTCTCACCAGCCCCTCCCCAGGTCCTCTGAGGATGGGCTCAGTGGGAAGAGCAGGGCTCTGGGATGTGCTCTGCCATCAGCCCAGTCCTCCAGGAACTTCCAGCAGCAGCCTCAGAGATGCCCATTAGAATCAAAAAGACTTTCCCAAGATGCGTCTCCGATTTTATTCCCTGTGACAAGTGCTTTTACCTTGCACGTTCCTCCTGGGTGCCCCAGCTCTGCGGGGCTGAGCAGGGCGAGGAATGCTCAGGGCTGGCCCAGGTCAGACCTCTCACTGTCACCCACATTTTGGGGCAGTGAGGGACACCCAACAGCTCCTTCATCCCAACATGTCACCCTGTGCTCTGTCAGGAAGCAGCTCCTGCCTGGGCTCAGCCAGGGAAGGGACACAGGGGAGGAAAGGCATTACCTGGGGCAGAACTCTGCTCCAGGCAGAACAACTTTGGTTATTTGAAGAGCTGAACCATCAGCCCAGTCAGACACCTGAATGTGGGTAGGCTGAGTCCAGCCTCAGGTCCCATCTGGCACAGACTGGCTGCCAGGCAGTCAGAGGGGCCTTCATCCCCCACCATGGCCTTCAGCTTCCTCTAAGGCAAAGTGAGCCCCTTCCATGGAGAGACACAAATACACAGCACCATAAGGGACACTCCTGAGCCCTGTCTCTGCCCTCCACACCACCCCAAGGGAGGGGAAGGATCTGCCAGTGACCAGCGTCCTCACTGGGAGCCCTGCGCGATGCCGGTGCAGCTGACCTGCCTGCAGAGACACGAGTTCTTGGAAAAAGGGCTGGCTTTGGTCACGCCTCACTGCCTGAACTATAGTTAAACAGCCCGTGAGGCTCCAGGTTTCTCATTAAAGGAAAAAAAAACAGTCAGAGGTTACCTGGCAGAAGGCAGCATGCCTTCCTGCTACCGAGGTGACCCCAAAGTGACTGAACCAAAGGTAGCGCTGCCAAAATCTGCCAGATTCTTCCTCCAGCAGGACACTCTGCAGGCACTTAACTACCCAATTTTCAGATGCTGCTTCTTCCCCAGAGCCTGGCATCTGTCCATGCTTTCGTTCCAGCTAAAGAAGGGCCTGAGGCACCGAGTGCTCCGTGCAGGACGCGCGGCCGGGCTGGCAGCGGATGGACCCCAATGCCAAGGCTGCTGTGAGCACACCCTGCATGAGCAACCACAGGGAGAACGGAGCAGGATGTGTCTGCTATCAAAAGCAACAGATGCAAACCCCAAACATAGCATTCCCAGACTCCACAGGCTCCTGCAGACATCCCAAGCAGAGAGACAGCTGAAGGCTCTCTGTGCATACAAAGTGCACACAAAGCTCTTTTTCTTTTTTCCCTCAGTGCATTCGAGACAATTTGCATCTTGTCGTAGATTCTGCTGTCAGTGCTATTGCTCTGCTTTTGGCAGCCAGCATGTGGGAGATGGAGACATGTCCAGATCACAGTTGGGACCTGCACATCCAGATCTCAGAGCAGGGGGACTTCATTTGGTCACACAAATCTGTGTTTGTAATTTGCCTTGTGATCTGTGGGGTTTAGTGCCTTCCCTTAACAGCATCTGCAGTCTGGGGTACTTGAGTGGAAAGCAGGGGAAAGGATGTCTTTGGCCATGGGCACAATGAAGTCGCAGCTCTTCACAAAGCATCGACGGGGAAAGGGGCTCATACACAAAACCCCACAATAAATCTGAGATTAGCACACAGCCACTTCATTTTTGTTTAATTTTCTTCCTCATGCAGACTGGCAGCGTGACAATGGCAGTGGAGGGAATCGGTCATGGTTGTCAAGTGCAGGCAATTTTATTGAGAGAAAAAAAAAATTAACTGCAACTTTAATGGCTTTTGTAATGTTTATGGGGCCTGGAGCTACTAATGAATCA